GTCTTGAATACGATTTCTCTTCAGCTTTATTAGCTTAAAGTTCAATTTTGTCACATTAATTTACGTAGACCTTAGAATACCATCGAATTGCTCATAGTATTGCATCCCAAAAGGTATTCTCCTCTATATTGGACTGGAGTGCAAGTTCGACTTAGCCCTGGTCTCATCAGCACATCAGCAAGATTCACACCCGACACTTCCATCAGAGGCCATGGGCTACCCGTTAAAATGGTGTTTTCGAACAGAAAAAAACGCAACGCTGTGAGTCGATCAAGGCTCTCTTTTTATCAGTTCCTGTGGGTGAATGGGTCTACCCACTTGGCCAAGTATAACATGTAAGCACACTTGAGCACATATCAATGGACCCATTTACCTGAAACGGTTTATGTCACCATGACTACTAGAGGCAACGATGAATGGAAGATACGACTTGCAGGCTAAGTATCTATCTTCAGCCGTCGTGGCACCAGTCGTCATCAGGTCTTTCGACGATTATTGCTTATTGCAGAAGTAGGTTCTTTTCATGATTCCCTGCGGGTTACACCATTATGTCTATTACCCGAATGACCCTTCACTTGGACTCATCTTGCAGATTGCCAACCTACTCACCTCATCGTCGTCTACTGACTTCCATGTAAAAAGTAATAAACTTAAACTTCTCCCTCGTGCCAACGCATTGTTCGTCTGGGCGACGCCTAATGCGGTGGTTAGGCTGGCCTCCTTTCGAAATGTAAATCACAATTGTACTCTGATATATGGCAGAAGCCGTTAACATACCAGCACATGTACACGCACACACAGACACACGGGCCGGCACATAATCGGATTGCGTTGAAAGCTAACTTTTCCATATGTTTGCAGGACAGCTACACCCTGCTCCAAGTCACTCCCACTCCACCTCACATCGGCTAACCTCGCCTCGCTTCTCCCCTTCCACGTCCCATCTCCCAACCTGCTCACCTCTCGACCGTTCCAGCTCCCTGTTTTGGCTTCCCACCTCCAAACTCATCCGCACCACTTCCCATCCTCTCAGCCTCTTCGCCCCAGACATGCCAACGAAGTCAGCCAGTCCGGGCAGAACAGCTCAAGCCGCTGGGAAAGTGTAAAAAAAGGCATCGCTCTCTGCTAAATGAAATTTGTCGCGGCCTTGGCCGGTCTGTTCCGCCTACTGCATATACCGTCCAAATGGGTGGATCAGGGTTGCTCTGCTCCATGTTCCAGGTGCAATGGGACGCCAGGCTTGGTACATGTGTGTATATGTGTGCGTGTGCGCCTGAGGTGGTTGGACGGAAGGATGGGAAGAGGATGTTGGAATAAGGTGGGTAGCAGATAAGAGCAATAAAAGACTGGGCTATCGCCGCCCGGTAAAAGTAATAGATGGCTTCAAAGTAATAGTGAAGCGAAGCTGGCTGAATAAGTCAACCATTTGAGTTAATTTGTGCCTTTCTCTCTCAACAGTCAGACTAATATGTATTTATTTAGCCGGGTGCACTTGTTACTATGGCTAAAAGTATAATGAAACCTCACCTGTTCCTTACAATGCCATTATATATTCCCGTGCTCGTTCCCCATCTCTTGACCTAACAAGCAAAAAATTCGCCACCTTAAACCGTCTTTAAATCATATGACTATAAATTATGACAACTAACTTAGACTTCTTAGAAAGCAAATCATTCAGTAGCGTCTCTTATTTTGGCACGCAATCGCATGACTAATGAATAAAACCCACCTATACAATGAGGCAAGAATTGCCAAAGAAGCATCTGGGGGTTGGATTTGTGTGGTTTGATGAGATAACTTTCCTACTCAGACAAGGAAGGTAACAAGTAAAGTTTTATATAGTTCTCGTAATGCTTAATTGAAATTTGTTCATACTACCTTTACTGTTAGAAACTAAGCAGTACGTATCTTCTTTAAACCCACTACTACTGGAATACGATGCTGAAATTGAAGTTGGCTCTTAACAGAGTCAACTCCAAAAGTCAGCTTGGAATGGCCAATTAGGTAATGGGAAATTATTTACTGTATACCAAATTGTATTACGACACAAGCTTTCGTCAAACCGTTTATATAGTAATGGATAATAATATTTATATCATCCAACTCACGAGCCAAATCACGCTAAGTGAGTTTGGATTGCAAATTGAGATTCGCAGCCCAGGGCTTGTGCATCATTTCAGACCTTTGGGAAAATGCCTTTGTTGAAATTCTCTTCTGCCCTATTACCCAAGTGAACTCGTAGCAGTGTGGCATAGTGGTTAACGGATCTAGATTATATACTGCACTACCCAGCTTCGAGTCCCTCCTGGAGGGGTTGAAGAAACCTAGGCGAGGTCGACATAGCTGTCTGCTTCAGATGAGAATATCATTTGGTCATCAAGTCTATGAAAAATTCAATGGAAACATAAGGCCTTCTCATATCAGTTTGGGAAAAATTCAGCAACCAGGCCTTGATTACTTTGAACGAACTAAAGTGAATAGGTCTTATTTAAGAATTTTATACTACTCATAGGCTTAGCGATCAATGATAAGAAGGCGT